AATATCGAGGATGATCTAACAAAGACTGCCGGTAGTAACAATAATAACACTTAGAAAAACAAGAAAAACAACCATCCTTCTTCTTCGTCTTCTATGCACGAAAATACTACCAACAATATAAGCCAAGTTGATCTCAATAAAGTGTTATCTCTTGATTCTCCATTGCCCAAGAAGAAAAGAACTTACACTTCTTTAGGATTAATTATGATGTGGCCTTTGATCGCTTTTACGGTCAAGGCTTGATCACACCTATTGGGCCAGTTCCAGAGCCAAAACCTGAAGAAAGGAGCGCTAAATGGAATCCCAATGCCCATTGCAAGTACCATCAAGGAAGGGGCCACACTACATAGCTATCTTGGAATTTGAAGGACGTCATTTAAGAATTGGTGGATGCAAACAAACTTCCTGTCCCTCCAGGCGGCAAGAAGTAATGAACACAAGGCACACAACATATCCTTTGTGCAAGATTTCATGTTTTTTTTTTATCATTCATCTCCATTCCCCATTCATGTCTAGCATAGGTTTTTCATTTCAAATTTTTATATGTTTCATGTGTTTCGTTCACCTTTTCCATTAATAAAATGAGCAAATTTCCTTTACATCTCGATCATAGCATTTTTCATTCACTTGAGGCACCTGTGCAACCCTGTCATTCCCTGTTAACTGTTCAATCACATTCCATTTCTTCATCAACCACTTTGAGCCTCGTCTAACGTTTGGCCTTCATTTCTTCAACCCATATTTACTTAACCCTGGGATTGGAAGATGTGTAATGGTATAACATTCAAAAATAAAGTAAAAAAAAAGGCAGCAAAGCAACAATAAAACAATGTCTAAGGGCAAGTGTTCCAATGTCTTCGATATGAACAAGTCTCAAATTGTGTCTCTCATTGAGTGCTTGGTACCGTGCCTGAGAAACATGAATGCTAAGTGAGGGATGGACCGCATGATCTGAGATTGCCTACATTGATTCAAAATAATGAAAAAAAAGAAAAGAAATTCAAAACAAAAAATATATGAAAAATAAAACTTGCAAAGTCTACTACACAATTGCATATCTTGCGGCTTCTCTCGGGTCCTGAGTCTTTTACCCCTTTCTTCCATAAACCTTCAGCTTAACCACCTTACAACCCTTGAAAGAACTCTTTGATGTGTACACACACTTGTGCAAAGTTCGGTTAGAGTTACGTTCGGCTTGATTCCTAACGGATACACAGGCAACCTCACATTGAGGTGCGGCCACATTCATATGCATTATCGAATTAAAGAATATCCAATGCTTAATCCTATGACCCTATCCATCTAAGGCTAGACTTGGGGGCTTGAACCCACATGGTTTAGCCTACCAATCCTAAAGAGTCACCATCTCAACTCTTCTCACATCTAATTCTCTCAGCATAGCCATTGCAACCTCACCTAGTATCACTTTCACACACGTCTTTCACACATACATAGCCATATCATGTTTCCCTTAGGAACCCTTTATCATGAAATCTTGTTTCCCTACCGCGAACGCTTCATCATTTTCAAGACAACATTCATTAAAAGAAACGTCGTATACTTGCTTAGCTTCCTGACTTGAGCAATGTTCATTGTTTCATGCATCGCATAATGTGCTGAGCAACATTTATATATCAGTGATTTTTAATTATACAAAGCATATCGTGCTTAGCTCCTTGACCTAAGCAACATTCATTATGAAATAATCACTTCATCTATATACGTGCTTAGCTTCTACACCTAAGTAACGTTCAAGATCGTTTCTTTACACCATATATGATGCCTAGCTCCATGACCTAAGTTCATTCATCTATCATGTCACATGATGTAATTGCCCTTAGCCTCCTGGCCTAAGAACATGCATCATGCATAAATTATTTTCAAGACAAGAAATTTAATCCATGTGATTCATTTCGTCTTGCTCAATGAAGAAGTTCAAAACTTTTTCTCTTTCTCATAACTTTTCTTTTGGTGAAATTATAAAACGTTTTTAAAATTTTCTCATCGAGGGAAGTTCAAAAATAAAACATTTTTTCATGTCTTTCTCGGGAGAGAGTCAGTACCCTCCACTCATCTCATGACAAAAATGACGGAATTTTTCTGCTCTTGCATTTTCGATTGCTTGTGTCTATACACACACACTAAAACTATACACACATAAACACAAGCTATACACATGTCATGTCGTGTCAAGTCAAAGCTTGGTCAAGTCAGTTAGTCAAGTCAATCATAGTCTATACGAGTCCCTTAGAAAATTTCATTTTTCAGGTCTCAATTACAGCCCACGTCCGGGGACAAGCGAACCATCTATAGCCCACGTTCAGGGACAAGCAACGCAATTACATCCCACGTCCGGGGACAAGCGGAGCATCTACAGCCCACGTTCGGGGACAAGCAAACCAATTACAGCCCACGCTCGGGGACAAGCAAACCTTTTATAACCCACATTCGGGGACAAGCGAACCATCTATAGTCCACGTCCGGGGACAAGCTTTCACCGCCATTATTAGTCGGGTTAAGTATTTATTCTTGGAGTGCTTACATCCATATTTCTATTTCATAAAACCAACCCAAATCCTATTCCATTTCCCCAAACCATAACTTATTTTCCTTTTTTCGTTCCTTTAAACCCAAAATAATTCATTACGTGTCCTTTAAAATCATTCATTTCGTGTCCTTTTTATAAAAACATTTATTCCTGTTTATTTTGGTCCATAACCTGGGTCAAATTATTTAATAATTGGATGGGACTTGAAAACAGATTTCCAACGATATATTATAAGCCCAAATATAAGTTATAACAAATAAGTTATGGCCAAAATATTAAACCGAGTCCAAACCGAACCTAAGCCCACCTTACCTACGACCCAATGATCATGTGGAGGGTCCAAATTATTTAATCCCATTCCTAAACCAATTAGGATTAATTGGAAGCTTCTATAAGTTTCTAAAAGATCTTAATTATCCTTTTTGAAAAGATAAGATTAAAGAGTTTGAAATTGAATAAAACTTTTCTTTTTGAAAGTCCTAATTCTATTCGAATTGAAAGACGTTCAAATATAGACAGATATTATTTTCGTGCCTCATGGTTTTTATACAAATCTTAGATGGTTGGATAGTCCTTGAAATTATATTTTCAACGATATATTATAATATCAATTCCGAGCTATAATGGAGAAGATATGAATAAAATATCAAACTCTATCCAAAATTAACACTGTCAACCATATCTTTTGTTCTAAAGAATATTTTAATTGGGTTAGAGAGTAGACTAAGAAATTTCCAATGATATCTTATTTATCTTATTCCAATTTCTGGATAAAAAGATATGATAAAAACAAAAATCGCATAAAATGCAGTCTATCGAGTTTTATTCCGATTTAATTTGGACCTTATCTTGTTTTTTCGGTCCTTCTTTTTTCTCTATAAATAGAGGTCATATCTCCCTTTTTTCAATCAACAAAAAGCTTGATTATCAAGTCATTCTCTTCTCCCTCTTTATCCTAATACTAGCCACTCTATTCTCTTACAATACTTCCTCTAAGAACTCCAAGGAGTCCATATAATACCCAAAGTTTTATCCTTAAACCAAGGCGTGAAAGGTACAAATAACTGAGGGTTTGGACCAAATTAACTCAACTTTTTTATTTAATTTAATTTTATTTCTATTTGCTTTATATTTTTTATTGAAGTTACTAACAGTTTATTCATGATGTAGCAATTTAAAAGAACGCGCTAGAATGAGAGTAATTAATTAAATATTGCTAGTATCATGATTAGGTTGATTTTTAATTTTATTTGACTAACACTAGTGCACTCCGCTGGGTACAACGTTGCGGTTTTTGCACTATGTTCAAGCTTTTGGGTGTCAAAGGGTACCATGGTTAAGAGTTTGGACGTGTTAGCAAGGTAACCTCCCTTGAGGGTGTATGCCAACGGGCGGCTTCGCAAGTTTGTGATGAAATCGAACTCGACTCCATGGTTTGGGTGGTTTTAAAAACTCGGATAAACCCTTATTGCCATGAGCATTTTCTGGTTGATAGAGCATAAATCCCCCGAGCTAGCCACATACGTAGAACACGTACTATTGTGGCAAAATAGGTAAGCTAAAATGCATATACATATGAGATAATGCCAATTAAATCACAGGAATACAATCAAAGAATCTTTCAAGTCTCATTCACTCATCTCAATTAAATAACGATCACTCAAATCAATAAATAACCAAGAATCCTCCTCAGTGGAGTCGCCAAATTGTAGGCGTCGTTCGAAGTGCGCCTACGTTAAAGCATGTGGTGAATGTGATTGGCACTCATAGGAAGTGGGAATTGACATTACGATCACTACTACAAAAAAAGGCTTTAGAAAACAGTTAGAATAGGCTTTATAGAACGCCTTAGAACCGTTCTTCTGCTAAGCGATGTGTAAAGTATATAGATCGCCTTAAAGAGGTGTTCTATATGTTGAACAATATAGTACGGTTCTTTGACATAACCATTCTGTTTTCCCTTCTTGGATTTAAAAAATAATGAAGGAAAAGAGAACGGTTAGAGTACTTAACAATTCTATATAATCCTTACAAAATAGAACTGTTACCTAAGACAACAGTTCTATAATCTTTTTTTTTTTTTTTTAAAAAAAAAACCAAAATCACTAGCTTATAGTAGCTTATACGTCTTCATGTATTCCTGTATTTCCAACTATATTTTTCTTGTATATGCTTGTATTTATATAATATCCAGCAAAAAAAAATTATGCATTTCTTATGTATAGATACTACCAAATTATAAAAGACGGATAACATATACTAAAAGCACTACCAAATTCAAAAGTTTCAATTAACACAATAAATCAAAAAGTATTTAATAAAATATAATGTTTTCATTGCTACTAAATAATCTAACATGTTTGTTGTGATGTATCTCGAAATGGTAATACAATTAAAAGTAAAACAAAAGTTAAGAAAACAAAATGCACAAGCAATGATGCAAACTAAGAAATTAAACCCAGAAAAATAATTTCATTACTTTGTAATATACAAAGTATTGTACTTGACAAAAGTTTTGCTCAACCTTGATAAAAGCCATGATTATTAATCTGACATAATCTAGTCTTGTGCTTGACTAACCTCGGAAAATTATACTTCGTACATCAAAGGCCGAATTTTTGTTCTTTGCTTTCTTCATATAACTTTGAAGACTATTTTTCTGAAGCTAAGCAACCAAAATTTGCATTCTTCATTGAAACCCAAGTTCTGTGAGCTGCCTATATTTATAAGCATGGTTAATCCAACAATAAAATTATCAATCACAACTTACTAACAACACAATAATTTCTTATACCACACATTTAAACAGAAAACCTAATTCAACAACACAACATCACGAAATTGTATATGATGAATTAAAAAGGAATATAAGAAAGAAAAACTCACAAATACTAGAGGAGAGAAGCCCGTCAATTAAGAGCATGACAACACTTCAATGGAGAACTCGAAAATTGTTTCAACGGAAAACCAGGGCGGAGAAGGTAACGACGGAGTCAGCAATTTCCGAGCTCTGCCACAACGCCGACACCACTATCACCGCTGACGGGATAAATTATCGAGATTTAATCGTATCTACCGTAAATAGCCATAAAATCCTTAACAAACACATGAAGATAATCGTATAAATGAATAAGTTCTACAATTAGATTGTAGAACGCCGACAAAATTCAATTGATAGATAGAGAAATTAATACTAGAGGAGAATAAATAATCAATACAAATTTTCGATATATCCAATAAATTAAAATTGTGTTTTTCTATTGCTAAAATCAAATGAAAATGGAGTATGTATATGCAAGTTGAGCAATACAGCTTGAGGAAGATGAAATAGGAGGCGGCAGGCGGGTAGGATAAGAAAGAAGTGGGTTAGGTTTGCTAAAGTAACAAAGTAATTGCCCAATTTTAAAAAAGAAAAAAGTGGGCGGGCATTTCAAGATTAACTCAAAAAATAGTTAGCGGTTATATACTTGTATGAGTACATTGTTTTATTCTTTTATTAATTTAATAAAATAAAATAATTTTTTAATGTTAAAAAGTATAGAGAACGGTTAGGTTCCTAACCGTTTTATATTTATTACTTTACACAACGCCTGCTACAGGTAACTGTTCTATTTAGTTGCGAAGAACGCTTTTTCTACCCAACCGTTCTATATGATGCGTTTCATTTTCTTAATTTTGTGGTAGTGGATTAGGGACAATGATTAGGGACAAAGAAAAATAGGGAGTCGTCAACAAGTTTTTAAGGAACTTGTAAACCGTTCACGGATCATAAAAAGACAACCACGATAAGAGACAACGATGGGCAACAACGATTGACCCGTGAAGGTTACACCCCATTAACTCCATTTGGTTTGGAACAAGGAAAGGAGGATCGAGGATGATGGTAAGAAGTGAGTCATGGACTCACATTCGCCCGTATTGGCCTCTACTCGATTCTTATAGTGAAAAGTGAATCCTGCGATCTCAAAGGCATACAAACAAAATATTCAATTTGCTCCAAACTATTATTATGCTAAATTGGTTTAATATTAATGCAACATATAATTCTATAAAATATGTGATCAATTGATTAAACAACAAGATTAAAAGGATCCTAAACCAGTTGTCCAAATTATCTTATTAGGCGTGATTTTTAGTTACATATTCCCTTTAACATGCAATATGGTGATCAATAAAAAATAATAGAATAAACATTAATATTGGAAGCAATTTAACAATAATAGCGTTAGTCAAATCAAATATAAAAAAACCTAACCATGACATTAGCAATATTAAAATAAAAATAAATAATTAAATTAATTACTCACATTCCGCGCGTTCCTTTAAATTACTACGTCATGAATAAATTGTTAGTAACTTCAATAAAAATATAAATCAAATAGAAATTAAATTAAATTAAATAAAAATAGAGTTGATTTGGTCCAAACCCTCAGTCAATTATACCTTTCACGCCTTGGTTTAAGTATAGAATTTTGGGTATTATATGAACTTCTTGGAGTGCTTAAAGGAAGGAATGGTGAAAGAATGGGGAGGCTAGTGTTTAGGCTAAAGAGGTAGAAGAGAATTATTTGATGACCAAGCTTGTTGATGATTGAAAAAAGGGAGATATGACTTCTATTTATATAGAAAAAAGAAGGGTCGAAAAAAACAAGATAAGGTCCGAATTAAATCGGAATAAACTCAATAGACCGCTATTTTAACGGTTTTTGTTTTTATCATTTCTTTTGATCCAGAAATCGGAATAAGATAAATAAAATATCGTTGGAAATCCCTTGAAGTCTACTTTCTAACCCAATTAAAATCAGATTAAAATATTTTGTAGAACAAAATACATGTCCAAAATAGTGAGACGGTGTCAGTTTTGTATAGAGTTTGATATTTAATTCATATCTTCTCCGTTATACCTCGGAATTGATATTATAATATATCGTTGAAAATATAATTTCAAGGGCTATCCATCAATCTAAGATTTCGATAAAAACTATGAGGAACAAAAATAATATCTGTCTATATTTGAACGTCTTTCAATTCGAATAGAATTAGGACTTTCAAAAAGAAAAGTTTTATTCAATTTCAAACTCTTTAATCTGATCTTTTCAAAAAGGATAATTAAGATCTTTTAGAAACTTATAGAAGCTTCCAAATAATCGTAATTGTTTTAGCAATGAGATTAAATAATTTGGACCCTCCACATGATCACTAGGTCATAGGTAAGGTGGGCTTAGGTTCGGTTTGGACTCAGTTTAATATTTTGGCCATAACTTATTCGTTATAACTCAGATTTGAGCTTATAATATATCGTTGGAAAGCTCTTTTCAAGCCCAATCCAATTATTAAATAATTGGACCCAGATTATGGAAAAAATAAACAATAATAAATGTTTCTATAAAAAGGACACGAAATGAATGATTTTAAAGGATACGAAATGAATTATTTTGGGTTTAAAGGCACGATAAGAGGAAAATAAGTTATGGTTTAGGGAAATGTTATAGGAGTTGGGTTGTTTTTATGAAATGGAAATATGTATTTAAGCACTCCAAGATTAAATACTTAACCTGACTAATAATGGCGGTGAAAGGTTGTTCATCATCGGGTTGGTTTTGGGGAGACAGTTTTAGGTGTCCACAAAGGGTAAGAAAAAATTTCCGCCTAAATCTAAGGCTACCAAGGATAACAAGGAGAGAAGGCAGCATCTTCTAAATTTGATTCCGAATGCTACTATTGCTAGAAGAAGGGACATTGGAAGAGAGATTGCCTCAAATTCAACGAAGATCAGAAGAACGGAACCGTTGCTTTTGGATTAGGTATATTCATTATATACTTAAACTTCACGAGCTTAGCTTCATGGGTATTAGATACTAGATATGGCTCACACCTTTGTTCTAATTCACAGGCACTAGGAACATTAGGAAGCTAGCGAAGGGAGAGGTTGAACTTCGGGTCGGCAATGGAGCCAGAATTGCAGTCGTATCCATAGGAACTTTCTGTTTATCTTTGCCCTTGAGGCTAGTTTTGGAACTTGAAAACTGTTATTATGTTCCCAACATTACCAAAAACATTATTTAAATTTCGTCGTTGGACTCCAAAGGTTTTGAATTTCAAAGGATGAATGTTCGTTTTATCCCGATAATTTTTTATATGGTATTGCACATTCTGAAATGGTCTTTATGTGCTTTAATTGGACAAACAAGTTTATAATGTTAATAATATCGTCAAGAAAGCTAAGACCCTCGAGTCAAATCAAACGTACTTGTGGCATTGTCTTCTTGGCCACATAAACATCAAAAACATCAAGAAACTTGTTCAGGAAGGTGTTCTTGACTCATTCAATTTACAAACATTTGAGAATTGCCAGGTTATTATTAGGAAAGATCATAAAGCAGTCATTCTCCAAATGGGGAGAAAGGGAAGGTGACTTGTTAGTTCTAATACACACCGATGGATGTTGACCAATGAGCTCCACCACAAGAAATGACCATTGATATTTTATCACCTTCACAAACGAATTTAGTAGATATGGCTATGTCTACCTTATGTCGCATAAATCTAAATAGTTTGAAAAGTGAAAAGAATTTAACAGTCAAGTTTAAATTAGCTTGACAAGAAATCAAAGCCCTTCGTTCGGATCGAGGTGGTGAATACTTGAGCCAAGAATTCGATGACCATCTGAAAGAATGGGTATACTTTAAGAATTGACACCTCCAGGAACTCCACCATGGAACAGATTATCCAAAAGTAGAAATCAAACCTTGTTGGACATGGTACAATCAACAATGGGTCTTAGGCATTTTCCTATCTCTTTCTAGGACACGCACATCTAACTATGGCACTAACACTGAATCGTGCTCAATCAAAAGCTGTAGAAAAGACTCCATACAAGCTATGGACGAATAAACCTCAAAGGTTATCTTTTCTAAGGATATCGGGATGCAAAGTATATATATGTGAAGAAATTAATATCCGACAAACTTCATCACAAATCTAACAAGGTTTTCTTGTGGGTTACCCAAAAGAAACCCAAGGGTATTACTTCTACAATAAATCCGAGAACAAAGTGTTGCTCGCGATGGTGTCTTTTTGGAGAAGGAACACCTTTTCAAAATGACAAGTGGGAGGAAAATCAAACTCGACAAAGTTCGAGAGGACGAGCAACAAAATCAGATTGACAGTCAAATTGCTCAAACATCATCTGTTGACACTGGTCAAAATGTGCAAAGTCAAACCGACAATGCAAATGCTCAGTTTGTTACCCTGCGGAGTAGGTCATAGAGGTCGATGTCTCAACATGATAGGTATATAGGTATTGTATTAACCGAGAATCAGGACATCCTAGTAATGGACGAAGACGAACCGGCAACCTATAAGCTATTGGATTCCTGGTAAAGACTCTGAAATAGATTCCATGTTTGAAAGTCAAATCTGGGACTTGGTTGACTTACCCGAGGGTTACACACCTATTGGATGTAAGTGGATTTTAAAATTGAAAACCAAGAAATATGGAAATGTATTCATTTACAAAGATAGATTGTTAGCAAAAGGTTACAGGAAAATTCATGGTATTGATTACGATGAAACCTTTTCTCCAGTCACAAAGCTTAAATTCGTTCGGATCTTCCTAGTGATTGTTGCATACTACAAATATGAAATATGGAAGATGGACGTCAAAACCGCCTTCCCTACCGGAATTTTGGAAGAAATTGTGTATATGACACATCCTGAAGGTTTTGGGGACAAAAACAATGTTGGGAAAGTTTGTAAGCTTAAAAAGTCCATCTTTGTGCTGAAGCAAGCTAATAGAAGTTGAAATCTTTGATTCTATGAAGCCATCAGTAAGTTTGGTTTTATCAAGAATCCATATGAATCTTGTGTTTACAATAAGGTCAGTGGAAGTGACATCGCCTTCCTAGGCTTATATGTCGATGACATATTGCTCAATGGAAATAAAATTCCGATGTTAGAGTCTGTAAAGGCATGGCTTGGAAAAAGTTTATTAATGAAAGGCTTGGAAGAGGCTCATTACATATTGCGCATCAAGATCTATAGGGATAGGTATAAGGGGATGATTGGATTGAGCTAGAGTACTTATATTGATAAGGTACTGGTACGATTCAAGATGGAAGGAGCCAAGAGAGGTCACCTTCCCAAGTCATATGGCTTAACCTTGAGCAAGAAGCAGTGTCCAAAGACACCTGATGAGAGAGAAAGGATCCATATTCTTCGCCAAATGGATAGATCATGTATGTCCTGATATGAACTAGGCCAGATGTATCGTATGCCTTGAGTACTACGAGCTGATACCAATCAGACCTAGGAGAGGCGCATTAGACTACGGCCAGGATTATCCTAAAGTACTTGAAAAGGAATAAGGATATATTTGTAGTATATGGTGGCTCAGAAGAATTAGTTGTTGAA